GATAGTTGGAAACTTCGTTTATTTCACTTTTTTTGTAAATAGTAATCACAAAAGCTTGCTTCCATGTGTCAGGAAAATCTCCTTCTTCAAGAGACTTGTTAAATAATAAAGTGAGAGGGTTACAAAGGGAATTTGCACATTTTTTACAAAAAATTGAGGGAATACCGTCAGGTCCGGCCCCTTTGTTTTCGTTCAGTTCAATTAGAGTATTTAATACTTCGTCTTTCGTTACAATTACATTGTTAATATTATTGACATTATTGAAGTTATTTTATATAGGATTTTAATAGGACACTGGTCATAAACATATCGAAAAAAATTAGCAAAATGCTTACAAATGTCTACACCATTAAAAATAAAATTATCGCCATGTTTCACAAATAAACTCCTTATTTGTAACATCCTTCGTAACAGGCAAATTGTTGCTTTTATTAGATAACAGATAAGTTCTTAACTTCCATACCCAGAAGGGCGGAACAGTGTTAGGTACAAGTACAAAAACCAAATATAATTGGGTAGTTTTATTTTAAGTACCTACCTACTATTGAAATATGGGGAAAATGTACTCAACATTATTTTTTATAGTGAAAGTCCATTCTTCTGCATTTGTCCGAAATAAACTTTTCAATTACTTTTTCATTTAGTAAGTAAAAGTCTTAATCTTAATCAATCTTAATTTTTTAAATTTTTATAAAAAACAAAACACAAAGAAGCAATATGTAAGTAACAAAATTTTTCACCACACCTGAACAAATTATGTTTATTAAAAAAATCAATGAATAGCTATTACTTGGTTACGGTCGGACTAAACAGAGCCTAAACTGCAAAGTAAATATGCGCTACCCCCACTACGTCACTGCTGCGCAACGGTAACCATGACCACCGCTGTAAACAGTTTACAGATGTAGAGGCGAGCTTCAGTGTTTTGCAAACTAATTTTGCAAGTCGAGTTAAATTGACTGCACACTACAAGTTTAACATTTCCTTTTTGTGTTTCATATTTAGTTATGTAGATAACATTGTAAACTAAATTTTAAATTAAATTTTTTTTTACTATGAAAATATGTAGATGGGGCGGCGCCCCCGCACCAGTCGCCACTGCCTATGTTTCTTATTAAGAGAGTCACTCGCATTATTATTTTTTCTCCCCACAAATATCTTGTTAATACTCTTTTAGTGTGACGTCACATATTTAGACAGTAGAATGTACAGTTTTTAAAATAATTAACAATATTGTGTTAAGTAAAAGTAAATAATATAAAATCTATCCGCCACAAGTAGTTTGCATAAACACAAATGAGTAAGACTGACCCAGACTACAGAAGACGACTCTACACGACTCATTTAATTTGGACTGATACCGGATTGTGACGTAAGAGCAGCCGTCTTTGTTTAAGACTGCGTTTTAGTGCATAGAGAATTATTTTGAATTTATATATTTTTTTTATAGGAAAACTATTATTTAAAAATTTAAAATTTATGTGGCAATTGACTTTTTACGATGAAAGGAATTTAATAAGAAAAGAAAATAAAATGTGAAACTTCCCCATTAACTTTATATCTTAACAAATAAGTGGTAAGTGCATGACAAAGCAGGAATTGAATGAATTTTTATATCACTAATTGTGTCTAGACTTACCTATTATACGCAAAAAAATTAGTCGTTGCATGAGTACGTGCGATACCGCAAATGGGGCAATTAAATAGTATGATTACTTTTTTATCATAAATTAAAGTGGCAGCGTCAACACGGGCTAATATTGGGTGTCGTAATTGTTTAAGGTAAATGTATAAATTACTGGAAGTTGAAAATCGAGAAATAAAAACTTTTTTGAGAAAAAGTATAAAAAAAGTGGGAAATTACCATATCAGATCTACTTAAGAGTTGCTGCTGTCACAGAAAGTTAGTGTTATGCTTAATATTTACATTATACATTTGGAGGGAAAAGGTACAGGTTTACCGCAATGTACCGTAATGAAAAAATTTGCTGGATTAGTCCTGTAAAATTTTTTTATCTGCTCCCACTAGAGTAAATAGACTGTTAATACATTGTTTTTAAGGAGGTAAGTACATAAAAGATAAAGATAATGAAGCTTACCAGCAATTAGGCCATGCTTGGCCCTTTTTGCCTGCTAACTTACACTACCCTCCACCTTAACAATCACAAACATCCATGGTACGACAGGAAAATTCGAAAGAATTTTCCTGCCGCGTGCGGGATTCGAACCCACTACGGTTTTGCCGCACAGCCCTGGCTCGCCTCTGTAGGCAAGCCTTGGCCGCTTCGGCTACCGCCGCGCCCNAGTAAATATGCGCTACCCCCACTACGTCACTGCTGCGCAACGGTAACCATGACCACCGCTGTAAACAGTTTACAGATGTAGAGGCGAGCTTCAGTGTTTTGCAAACTAATTTTGCAAGTCGAGTTAAATTGACTGCACACTACAAGTTTAACATTTCCTTTTTGTGTTTCATATTTAGTTATGTAGATAACATTGTAAACTAAATTTTAAATTAAATTTTTTTTTACTATGAAAATATGTAGATGGGGCGGCGCCCCCGCACCAGTCGCCACTGCCTATGTTTCTTATTAAGAGAGTCACTCGCATTATTATTTTTTCTCCCCACAAATATCTTGTTAATACTCTTTTAGTGTGACGTCACATATTTAGACAGTAGAATGTACAGTTTTTAAAATAATTAACAATATTGTGTTAAGTAAAAGTAAATAATATAAAATCTATCCGCCACAAGTAGTTTGCATAAACACAAATGAGTAAGACTGACCCAGACTACAGAAGACGACTCTACACGACTCATTTAATTTGGACTGATACCGGATTGTGACGTAAGAGCAGCCGTCTTTGTTTAAGACTGCGTTTTAGTGCATAGAGAATTATTTTGTATTTATATATTTTTTTATAGGAAAACTATTATTTAAAAATTTAAAATTTAAGTGGCAATTGACTTTCTACTATGAAAAGAATTTAATAAGAAAAGAAAAAAAATGTGAAACTTCCCCATTCACCATAGTTCACCACAAATTTTGATTAAATACTCTTAAAACAAAAGAAAAATGTCCTTGAAAATAACAAATCAACACAAAAATGTCAAATTGTGTTATCCATTCCATCGATAATTGTGTGGTGTCGTACTAGTTTTGTTTTGTTATTTACAAAAACTAATATTTACATAATATGTGTCAAAACGGTACCACTACAATTATGAGTGGAAAGGTGACATTTTTGAAATTTATTTACTTCTTTGATTTGTTGGTAGAGCTGATACATGTTTCAAAGATATTTACGAAGTCTGTAGCAGTGTAAAACTAAACTGTTTACAAATAAATTCGTGAATTAATTCATGAAGAACTTCTTGAATTTATTTATGAATAAATTGCCCATGTAAAACAGCTATTAGATATTAATTCCAAATAATATAGTGTTTTATTTCTATTTTTAACATCATATTTTATTAAATTAAGTCTTATCTCGGGCTCATCAGATGCAATATCTATTTGTAACATTTCGAGTTTGCAAAATTTTCTTTCTTGAAGGTTTGGATGGCTCGACAAGTGCTCTGGAGAGAGAGAAACTCATCAACGAGTTCAACTCCAATCCTAAAATTCACTTATTTCTGGTTTCAACGAGAGCTGGTTCGCTCGGCATCAATTTAATAGGTGCAAATCGTGTGGTTGTCTTGGATGCATCATGGAATCCTTGCCACGATACCCAAGCTGTGTGTAGGGTTTACCGTTATGGCCAGAGGAAACCATGTTTTGTTTATAGACTAGTTGTTGACAATTGCTTGGAAAAGAAGATATATGATCGTCAAATAAACAAGCAAGGTATGTTTTGTCTGATTGTTTTGTGATATATTTACAACCACCAATTTTTTTAGGTATGTCTGATAGAGTGGTAGATGAATGCAATCCAGACGCTCACTTAACTCTAAAAGATGTCAGTACGTTGTGTTGGGACGATAAAAGGGATGAGGGGGAAGAAAAAGACTGGTCTCGGTATAAAGACAATTATATTGATGTCGTATTACAAAAAGTTCTGGAGAAGTATGGTCGTTCACTTAATAAAGAACCTTTCCAACATGAATCTCTTCTTGTGGACCGTAAAGAAAAGCAGTTATCTCAGCAAGAAAAACGGCTAGCTAAGAAAGGATATGAACGTGAAAAGCAGGCGGCTAGACAGCCAGCATATAATTTGTTAGGTTCCTCTAGGGGACATCGACCAGTAGCCTCAGTCAGGCCCATGCAGCAAGGAGAAAGGCCATCGAGATGGATTCCTGCAGAACATTGGCAGAGACAAGGCATGACTGCTCAAGAGATGACACTGCCATTAGATGTCGTGATACCCACAAATCAACCTGAGAAAGGCAACATTGTCCTAAAAGCTGGGCAAAAGGTGTTGGTGCTTAAATCTCCAAAAGGTGTCTACATGCAACTAGAAAGTGGAAAAATTGTTGCCATTAAGACTGCCATTAAAGTTAAGGGCAAAGCTGAGGATAACCATGACCCAACCAAAATGACAAAAACTCCAGTATTGCCTCCATCAATTAAGGCTAATCCATCTCTTTCGGTGGTGCCCCAGAAGCGTGCCGTTAAGCCTTTTACTCCGGGTGCCACCAAATTCGGTGTTCAGAGCGTTAAACAGTCAGTCCCTAATTTAGTATCCAGGATACGCAGTATTCAGAAGAAGTTAGAGGCAGCTAAAGCGAAACCGTACAACATTGGCAGTGAGATTGCTAAGTCTCTTAATAAAGAAGATTCCATGCCGATGAGTAGTAGTGATGATGATCAGAGTGAGAAGAAACATGTCGAAACAGCAGATGAAATACAGAAGAGGATATCCATGCTGAAGAAAAATATTTCAATACAGCGAGTGACTAGCCAGCCCAAACAGCCACCTCCACAGCCGCCTCCTCCGGTCGAACACAAGGACAGCAGCTCAGAAAGTTCAGCCCTGGAGCAGCTAGAACACACCACTTCGTCGGTTTTAAATGACAACACACCTTTTCAGGTATGAAGACATTTAAATGTTTAAAATTTCACTTTCCACATAAAATCGGCCTACATTTTGCATCTAGTATTTAATTTTTATTTTTTTTTTTTGAAATTTTCATACCCTGTAACTGGATAGGATAATACAGTGCCTTCACAAATGTCTCTGGGTTTGACCCGGAGTCTTCGGGTTTTGATGGTACATCTTCAGGCTCCGGGTTAACATGTCATTTCTCCGGGTTTTCTGGAAAAATCGTGATTTCTTTGAAAGCATTTTTTTTATTTTTTAAGACATCAGTTATTATCTCCTGTAGGTCTGCCACGAAGTAGATATTTCCTGATTACGCCTTCATGTCTCCGGGTCTGTCATGAAATAGATCTGGTAACCCTACTCGTGACCGCGACTGGTAGGCAATCAGACTTACACTAGAGGCAGTGATTAACATAAAATTCCCTAAAGATAGAGGATAGTCCAGTAGAGTACATTTTACATTTCTTTACAAACTAACAAACATTGAATTGAATCTGCAAAATGCGTTCTTTTTTCAATAGAAAAAAAAAAACTGTTTTATTTACAAAATAATCATATTCCCCTAAAATATTTTGAATTTTTATCCCATTCCATATTGAAAAAATATTTTTTGATTGAAGGTTATCCTTTTAAAAATATAGGCTTTTTTGTAATCCATTTTCAGAAAATGAAAATAATGTTAATGAAATACAAAAAGGTTCAGCATTTTATTAATTTTTTTTCTATAATTAAATATAAATTAGCTAAATTAATTTACATTGGAATGCTAACATAAATCACAAATCAAATTTATAACAAATATTCAAAATGACCATCTTCGTTTTCCAAACATAAAGAGTAACTGCAAAAATCGCCCGTTTTTTCACAATTTGCAGAGAACTAAACAAAATAGATAAAAAATATGTTTTTGGTCTCAAATTACTCAAAAAATTAAGATGAGCATAGCTTTTAGTTTTTTGAAAATTTTCAAAAATTTAGGGGTTGAAAAGACGCCCAAAATGAAGAGTATTACCAATAAATATAAAAACTATTAGCATAAGAATTTTTCTATCGAATGATTCTTGATACAAAGAAAGCTTTATTCTCATGACTGAAATATGCATNTGATTACGCCTTCATGTCTCCGGGTCTGTCATGAAATAGATCTGGTAACCCTACTCGTGACCGCAACTGGTAGGCAATCAGACTTACACTAGAGGTAGTGATTAACATAAAATTCCCTAAAGATAGAGGATAGTCCAGTGGAGTACATTTTACATTTCTTTACAAACTAACAAACATTGAATTGAATCTGCAAAATGCGTTCTTTTTTCAATAGAAAAAAAAACTGTTTTATTTACAAAATAATCATATTCCCCTAAAATATTTTGAATATTTATCCCATTCCATATTGAAAAAATATATTTTGATTGAAGGTTATCCTTTTAAAAATATAGGCTTTTTTGTAATCCATTTTCAGAAAATGAAAATAATGATAATGAAATACAAAAGGTTCAGCACTATTAATT